TAAAACAATTTGTTGTAAAGATGATTTAATTGATTGTCGTACTAATTTTTCACGACCAAATTTTATGGTTCTAATAAATTTTTAAAACCATAAAAATTAGTCGTCTAAAATTATATGATTGGTTGCCATACGTATTGTTCACAACCAAATTTAATGGTTTTGACAAACTTCTATAACCAAAATAATTGGTTTTCATAGTGATGTAATTGGTTGGCATACGTAAATTTTCCAACCAAATTGAATGGTTGCCGGTAACACTTGGATGATTTCCACTTCGTGTCGAAAAATATTGGCTGTCATTAGTATTTTAGGCGACCAATCACTCATATTATGCCACCAATAATCGAACCTATGACAATCAAAAAATTTACCATAGACAAATTGGTTGCGATTGCTTTCCTTTTCGTCACCAATCACCAATTTGGTTGCGATAGGAATTAGTAACGCCGCTATAGCGACCAATTCTGTTACCAAATTTTTTATGTCACCAAAAAGTATTAGTGACCAATTTTCTGCTTTCAGTAACGGTTTTGGTTGCAAAGAGCTTTTTTTGTTGTAGTGAGTACTCGTCATGATATTCGGAATTTGTCGCAACGACTACGTACAAACTGCCATATTATGGCAAAAAACTTTTACTAGTGACAAAGTTGTCATTTTGTCGTGACAAAATAATTTGTCACAGTAGTGTGTGTATTATTCACCTTCTAGGTTATGATTTTAAGGCAAACGATCCAAAATTTTGTCACAATAAAGCTACGACGATGGCGATATTATGACAAACGTTATGAGAAGCATGTTGTGTCAAATTGTTTGTAAAATGAGAAGTGTATAATGTATTATGCCGAAATTGTTGTGTCATAATAATTTAAATTTGTTGTAGCGAGCGGTTCGACAAATGTTAGGGTGGATTGTTATAGGCGCCATCATAATCCCTACCTCCCCTTCTTCTTAATCTTGATCAGGATGGCAATGGGTCGGGTTGGGCCAAACCCAAACTCAAACCCATGGGTTTATCCGTGAAAAAAACCGTGGGTAAAACCCACTGGGTTTGAAAAACTCAAACCCAACCCAACCCGCTGGGTATCCGCGGGTTCATGGGTACCCACGGGTTTTTGTAGTAAAACATTCACAATAACAAGTTTCTATCAAAATTAACGTCAAATATCAATCTCTCAATACAAATTATCCATATATAAAACACCATTCTAGAAAATTCAAGCAAATCACAAATTAACTATACAAATTGTTCAACACCAATCTAGAAAACTCAAGAAAATTGAAGCAAATCACAAATTATCCATAAATAATATGATTAATTTAAAGCTTCTTCCTTTCAATTAAGTTTTTCAATCTCCACTCGATAACATCAAATTCATTCTACACAACTAGAAAGAAACAATTAGACATTTCTCCACAAACATAAATAAGATTAGTTTTTTAGAATATTAAATATGTCGAGAAAATTAATTATATGGGTGTGGGCGGGTACCCATGGGCCGGGTTTACCTAAACCCAAACCCAACCCGGTAAATAGTGAACGACTTTGAATCTAAACCCGGCCCAAAACCCATCAACACGAATTTTACCGCGTTGACCGGGTTGGGTCGGGTGGGTACCCTTAGGTTCGGGTTTTATTGCCATCCCTAATCTTGATACCACGGCAACTGGTTCTCCACCTTCTTTTTTTTTTTTTTTGCCTTTCTTCTCTCCTAGGAGTCCTAAGAAGACTCTAGTGAAAATGGGCTCATAATTCGATATATGTTATTCAAGGAAGTAGTTATTTAATCCCATCAAGTTAAACAAATAAGAGCCCAATGAAACCTTCAACCAACTAGTAACTTCCTCCACAAGCGTTTTTTAGGAATATCTCGAAGCCGATGAACTCCAATTCGGTAGCTAGCATCCACATCACCATCGTTCAAATTTGAGATATGAGTGAAAGGGAGGCAGTCCTTTGAAGGTAGCAAATAATCATCGATAATTATATTCCTTGATTCTCTCAGCTAATTTTGTCAATTGGTGAATCTCGACGAAAAATTCATCGGAGAAAGAATCGTTGATGAGTTTGATTGATGTTACCTATGTTTGGCTCGGCTTTTAGAAGTGCTTTTCGGTTTTAAAAGTTGAAGCAGAGCCAAAGACCTCTCAAAGCTCGACTTTTGAAAAGCCGAAAAACGCTTTTGTATAACATAAAATCAGAAGCTCCGATTTAGAACTTCTGCGAAAAACTGCTTTGAAAATACAAGATTATCCTTACCATATTTTGATTTTATTTCAGAAAATATAATTTTCCTTCATTTATATCATTTTAAAAATAAAATATATTATAAAATCATTTTAATATAAAAGAAATCTAACCAGATCCATTTTTTTTAATTGTTTATAATTATTATTCATATTTTATATTATAAGTCATTTATAGTCATTTTACACAACCGCTCATATTAAAAAGCACTTCTAATAATTTTACAGCCAAACACTAAACTGGTTTTTTTGAAAAGTACTTATCTAAAAGCTCCAGCCAGAAACTGCTTATGCAAAAGCAATCGCAGGGCCAAACTAAGTTGTTCGCTCCTTGTTCCTAATTCATAAATTTCTTGTTGGAATTTAATCTTGATATTTGTGTCGATCGCAAAGATTTACTTTATTTAGTTGGTATTATGAATTAGGAAGAAGGATACTTCAAGTCATTACATTCTTCTGACAACTATATAGCAAGATGGTCTACTTCGCCTTTTGTCAAGGAGGATGCTATTTAGTGTTTTGTTTTCATTAATACTAGGAAAAGCCCGCTCGCTATCGCTTCGCGTATTACAAAGATAAATATTTTAAAAACTAATAATTTTAATGTTGACCAAAAAGTGAAAGTCTTACATAAGATAAAGGGGTCGTCGAATATATTATTAATTTCTAAACTTCTATCATTATGCTAATGTTTCAATTTGTATGACTTTATTTCTTTTGGGTTTGAGGTAATCGTGGTTCTCCTTTATGAAAATTTTGGATTGATTGCTGGTTTGAGGAGGTTCAACTTGTACTGATCAGGTCAAAATAAGTTAGATACCCATGGATTTGGGTTCAATTGTCTTTCTCAAACAAAAGGAAAAAGCGAAATGAAAAACACTAAGGCTAAAACTCGCTACCGACTCAAAACTCGTCAACACTAGGTTCAACTCGCTTTGACCTGGTGGGACCGAGTTATGGACAAACTCACACCTGACACAACACGATAATTACAAAAACAAATAAAACTCACTCCCGCCGAAAACCTGTAAAATCGGGTTCAAGTCGCTTTGGTCGGGTCAAATTAGGTTGTATACTGATGCGTTTAAACTCAATTGTCATTCTCAACTAAAAGGAAAAAGATAAAAAAAATACTAAAGCGGATAAAACTCGCTCATGACCCCGAACTCTCAACACTGCGTTCAACTCGCTTTGACCGGGTCGACCCAGTTTTAACAAATTCACAATTTACCCAACATGTCAATTACAAAAGTGGATAAAACTCGCTCGCGATACAAAACATGTCAACGATGGGTCAGAGTTCAATTGCCATTCTCAACGAAAAGGAAAATGAGAAATAAAAAAAATTAAAGCCTACAAAACTCGCTTTCGATCTAAAACTTTTCAACAACGTGTTCAACTCGCTTTGAATAAATTTTTAACAAATTAACACTTGGTCCAACCTGCCAACTACAAAAGCGGATAAAGCTCGCTCACAATACAACACTCGTCAAAACCTTAGATTCGGGTTCAATTGTCTTCCCAACCAAAAGAAGAAGAAAAAAGAAATTCATAAATGCTAAAGTCGGTTTCAAGTGGCTTTGACTGGATTGAATCAGGTTGGATACCCATGGATTTGGGTTCAATTGTGATCATGCTCAATAAAAAGGAAAATAAGAAAGAAAAAACACAAAAGAGGATGATACTCGGTATTGATACAAAACTTGTGGTAGCGGTCTTGGGAAAGGATGGTGGAGAACAACTTAGGATTCCGCCGACAGTATTTCGAGATGGGCTGCAAAATGGTGGGCAAATGCGATGATTTGTGCAAAAAGCCATAGATGAAAACCTAGCGAACAATAACAAAACACTAAAGAGGATGAAACTCGGTCCAGATACAAAACTCTTGGTAGCAGCTTTGGGAAACGATGATGAGGAACAACTTAGGGTTCTGTCGATAGTATTTTGAGATGGGCTGCAAAATGGTGGGTGAAGGCAATAATTTGTGTTCAAGTTAGGATACCCATGTGTTTGGGTTCAATTGTGATCATGCTCAACAAAAAGGAAATAAATAAAGAAAAAAATACTAAAGAGGATGAAACTCGGTCCCGATACAAAAATCGTGGTAGTGGCCTTTGAAAACGGTGGTGGGGAACAACTTAGGATTTCGCCGACAGTATTTCGAGATGGGCTACAAAATGGTGGGCAAAGGCGATGATTTGTGCAAAAATCCATAGATGAAAACCTAGCGAACAATAACTAAACACAAAGCAATGAATTGTACAAAAAGTCATAGACGAAAACCTAGCAAACAATAACTAAACACAAAGGTTGTAGAATGGAGAGTGTGGCAAAAGAAGGACTTGGAACTTCCCCACTTGCACTTGGAGAAGGTGAGAGCCACTAATGCATAGTAACTCAAATCTAGACTTTTATATATTAATTAATATATTGATTTCAATTAACACATTAGTGCAGCTATAAAAACAACTGAAATCTCTTACACTTGTGTATCAATTGTGATTAGGGTTTAGGTAAAAGCATTTCTGATAAATATGAAAAGAAAGTAACTAAACAGTATAGCAGTATAAGAATAATCCAGCTAAGCCATTTATTTTGTTGAGCAATGTGGCGTCTTTGCATAACAGTACATCCATATCATAGCCAAACATCCAAAGTTGCATAGCAACGTCTGTCATCAATATGCATAGCTAAAGAGACACAATTCACCATATCCAACGCACACTTGCTACTAAAGCCTTTATGAAGGATGTCTACTAATTGGGTTTTGAAGAGCGGATCCTCTGGAGCATTTGATCTTTGATGAGCCTGCGCATGATTTTCCCCGATGGCGATTTGGGGATGCTCTCCACAAACTGCACCACTCGAACTTTCTTGTAGTGAGCCACATTGGATGCCACAAACTTCACCATGTCTTCCTCGCTTTCTTTCCCTCCTTTCACCTTCACCACCCATGCTGCTGGCACCTCCCCTGCCTCTTCGTCCGGCAGCCTGCAGCTTACATGAAAACAGTTTATGAGTATCAAACTTTACTCGACATACGATAGAAGTCAACTTTTGCCAGATGTACGCTACTCTAAACCATATACACGAAACGAAAGAGTAGTGGAAGCTACTTACGGTACAACAGCTGCATCATCGACGGATGGATGAGTAAGAAGAATGGCTTCGAGCTCTGCTGGAGCCACCTTCATTTCAGGATACAAACCCAAACATTTAATTAATGCAATAACGAGAATCATTAACTAGCTAGATGTTCGGACAAACTATATAATATAAGTGCTCGGAGATTAGGGTTGCTACATATGAATAGGATCGTCAATCAATCAATCTCGTTACCTGAAACCCTTTGTATTTGATCAGTTCTTTGATCCGGTCCACAATGAAGATATCTCCATCGTCATCAATGTACCCAATATCACCCGTGTGTAGCCATCCTTCCTTGTCAATCGTCCGAGTAGTCTCATCTTCATTGTTGAAATAACCTGCACACATGTATGTATACATTTGCCAAAGGAGTTTAAGAAAACAAATTAAGTATTACTAATAATGGGATCTCCTACGGTAATTAACTTGGGTATAATTTCAAGTTTGATAACTTGTATAGATATAAATCATTAAAATTGATCAAATTTATTTTAAACCATTGATAAAAAAATAATAATTAAAAAAAATTAAAAGAATTAATGGGAATAGGGGTAGCCGGTCATCACCCTTCCCATTTATCTTTTTTTGTTTTTTCCCCTTTCGTTTGTCACATTTGACCGTTTTCCTTATTTTAACCTTTCCTTTTTTAGTTTGTATTGAATTAGAATCATTACGTAAGGCTTTCGTAATGACGTAGCTCTTTATGTAACACAAGTTTAATACTCATTACGTAAAAGGACATTCTATCACGTAAGGCTTTCGTAATGACATTTTTACAAATACACATTCATTACGTAAAGGTTACAAAATGATAGTTATTTCTTACGTAATGGTAACCTTGGAAGCGTTAAGTAAGTCTTCCATAATGACTTAGCACTTTACGTAACACGAGATTAATACTCATTACGTAAACGGACCTTCCATTACGTAAGGCTTCCGTAATGACATTTTAATATTGTTACGTAAAATACACATTCATTACGTAAAGGTTACGGAACGATAGTTATTTTTTACACAACATTAAAGTCAGAAGAGTTAAGTAAGACTTCTGTAACGACTTAGCACATTACGTTACACTAGGTTAATATCCATTGCGTAAAAGGACCTTTCACTACGTAAAGGTTACGAATGACAATTATCTCTTACGTAACAGTTAAATCAACAGGGTTACGTAAGGCTTCCGTAATGACTTAAAATCTTACGTAATGCAATGTTAGTATTCATTACGTAAATTAACCTTCCATTATGTAAAGCTTCCATAATAACCTTTTATAACTGTAACGTAAGATTACCATATGTTATGTGACCATTAGGTAATGCCTATTGTATTTTACGTAATGTGACCTATGAAACCTGTTATAGCAAGTACCTTAGGAAATCCCTACTAATAATTAATTACGTACCCATCATGACACACTTGCTTCTGACACAAATCTCTCCATGGGTGTTCTTGGGGAGAGATACCCCTGTTTCGGGATCAATGAACTTCACTTCTAAGTTGGGCAATATGAATCCCACCGAGTTTTTCTTGGCGATCCTCTGCCCTTTTGCTGGATTCCCGTGTGAAAGTGTGATGCAGCTGTGCTCCGTCAAACCGTAGGCCTGCAAATTGCAACTAACTTGTGTTAAAATTTTAGCTAAGAATAAAAGTTATAGAGTATTAGCTAATGGTGATGATTCCACCTCCTGGACTTGAACTCCGGGGAACTTGCTCTCAAACGCGGTGAGCAGCTCCGGCGCCAGCGGCGCCGCCGCCGTCATGACCGCCGCGAGCTTCAGCCTCTTCAGGTCGAACTCCTCGACGATCGGATTCTTAACCAGCGCGAGTATGATCGGCGGGACGACGGGCGCGAACGTGACCTCGTGAGCAATCAGGGCGTTGAGAAACGTCCTGAGATCGTACCTCCCCATGACCACGACTTTGCCCTTGTTCCTCAACGTGGCGCAGCAGATGCCGGTGATGCCGTAGATGTGGAAGAAAGGGATGAGCCCCAGGGTTGTGACCTGGCCGATCAGCTCGGGCCCCACGCTGAAGAGCGTGGAGCAGAGGTTGGCCACGACGTTGGCGTGGGACAGCATCACGCCTTTCGAGGTCCCCGTGGTCCCCGAGGAGAAGGGGAGGGCGCAGAGGTCGTCCTGGGACACGTGGTGGTCGGGGAGGAGGGAGGTGGTGGCGCGGTCAGCGGCGGTGAGGAGGTCGTGGAAGTTGATGGGGCCTTCGAGGTGGGCGGCGGAGGCGTCGGAGAGGACGATCACCGGGAGCTGGAGAGGCTTCACCTGTAATAAAATGAGAACATTAGAGGAGATTAGAGAAACGTTTAATTTTTTCAGGGGTACACTGTGAAAGGACAGACATCTGGGTAGTGAATGATAAATATATTTTGTGTTGGGTTGGTTTTTTGAAATGGAAGGACTAAGTTCCATATCCGTTAGGTTGGATTCGGGTCGATTAATTTTTCACGAGTCGAAGCAGATCGATCCAAATGAATATGTAATTTAAAAGGAAAATATTACAAATATTAATTTATCATTCAAAAATCAAGAAAAAAAACTTTAATATGGTACATGTATTTATATTATCCACCTATTTAATTACAACTTCGTTGTAGCTAAAATATGAGGTAATGAAATACAAAATTATAATTAATTTGAGTAAAATTACATATAATTTAGCAAAAACGGATCGAGAATTGGCGGATCATAGCTAACAAGGTCGAGGAAAGTATCCATGCCCATCCCACTTCAAAACACGTGAGGTAAAAAGAGCCAAGTTGAAATTGCCATCACTACTAAAAGTACAGAATCGTGTAAAATTATCCAAACTAACCACAGAATTTGGTGTTTATCCAATTTTTTTAATTACCATTTTTTTATGTTTGTTCAAAATCATCACATAACTTTTATTTTTTAAAAATGGTAATACAACTTTGAAGTTTTTTTAACAAAGGCCAACTTTGCGCAATTTTTCTTGTCAAATAAATAAGGTTCAAAAAAACGCTAGGCGTAACAGGTGTGTTGGAACTTTGTCTAGCACCTAATTTGATTAGGCGTCGCCTATGAGTGCCTAGGCATTAGAAGAAAAAATAGCAACTACTACAACACGATGAATCAAATAATGGTTTAAAACACTTTTACACTCTAACTCAATTGATTAATAACTCATCACTTAACTCTTAACAACAATAAAATAGCTAAGAATTTCATAGATCAGAACTCCACCTAATTACGCCTAGGCGTCACCTAGGTATTGAATTACTCATTCGTAGCGTTCTCGATACCTAACCCACTATAAAATCTTTAGACGAAAAATTTTTACATTGCCAAACACCTAACCAATACTAAGAATGAGATTAAGCATGCTTTTTTAAAGAATGTAAATAACTAAACAATATACCAAAGTTCACCCAAGTTGAAGAAAATAGAAGCTATGTGTACAAGCATCAAAGTTGGCCATTTTGGGCAACATTAATCAATGGCTGCCCGTGACCATGCGTACATTAAAGAAGCAACATTAATCAATGGGCGTGCGTGGGACCAATGCCACGTTACGTACCTTCTCATAGTTGACATCATCAGTGACAATCAACTTGGCATCGGCGGCCTCAACCTGCTTCTTGATCTCCGAAGGGTGCGACGCCGGATTGATGCCGGAGAACACCCCGCCGGCGGCCATGATCCCGAGGGCTACGATGCCGTACTCGGCAACATTGGGGAGCATCACAACCACCACGTGTTTCTTCCTCAACCCGAGCGATCTCAGCGCTTTGGCGAACCTCCTGGTGTCTCTCACGACGTCGGAGTAAGTGTAGGACTTCCCGGTGAAGGCGTCGACGAATGCCACCTTCTCGGCGTACAGTTCGGCGTCTTGGAGGACGAATTCCGGCAGGGTCACGTTGTCCGGGACCGGAACCGCCGGGTACTCGCTTCTGAAGATGTGTTGATCGCCGGCTGCTTCCATGGTTTGTGGGTATGGTAGAGAAAAAGTGAGTAGCGGGTGAAGAATAGCTAGAGAGTTTGTTTTTTAACTCGAAGTTTTGGAGCTTTAAAAGGCGAAAGTGAGTGGCCAAAGAAGCTAGCAGCGATGAGTAGGTGAATGGTGAGTCAAGATCATGAGCCAACGCTATTTTGAACCAGAATATAGCTAACTTGGACATCCAAGAATCAACCTATATTTATTGTGGGTTAACGCGTATGTGGTGCCATTCAGAATAAGCTTGAATTAATAAAAAAAAAAACAATATGGATGGAAATCGAATTGAAGTTACACTAATTTGATTCAGTTTGTACCACATTGAAGTTAATTGTGTCCATTTATTCATTATCATTTTGGGAAATCTATATGATATTTGTCATGAAAATGGTTTTAAGTTTAGAAAACGAACCAATAAACAAATTCTTACTCTAGTTATGGTTATGTAAGGATGAAATTGTGTTCACTTCTAACATACTGCAAGGTATAAATTTCCTAAGTATTTGAGAAATTGATTTTGGAAATAAAATCTTTTGGTCTTTGGAATACAAAGGAATTTATTGTCAACCCTATATTTTGAATTATGTGCAATTAGGACTAGTTTTACAATTTCGAGAAATTGATAAAATAACATAATTATTCTCAATTACTGAATAAATTACCTTTATATATAATTTGCGCCAATGCTCCACATTTATGCACCTAACCTTCCTCGACTAGCCACTACTTAACTCAATATATAATCATGAGGAGATCAATCTCATTTAGTTTCAGAGCAAAATGGGTTACAATAATTTTTTTTGGAAGACGAATCTTCATATTGATTACTATCTTTTCTAAAATTTGGTTTTGCTTGGTCAGATTGGTTTGATGATAACTTTGACACTCGCAATTTTTAGAAGATAGATTTTCGATGTGGAATAGCAATGTTGTTTCTGCTGGAAATTATTTAGGGTATAGTTGTGAATTTTTAGTTTAATTCAATTATGAACATTTTTTTTTCAAACATGATTCTGAATTTAAATTCAATTTACTTCTAAAAAGTTGAATACGACATTCCAAATATTGGAATTTGTTTTTAAAAGAAAATGAATTTTCAATTCATTTGATTCCAAACGGTGTATAGCTATAAAATTTTGTGTATAAAAATCCAACCATTAATCGTCGTTCAAATGAAAGAAAAAAATGGGAGGTGGAAGATTAATCATACTTTCAGCATGGGTACTTTTGGGATTTCTAAGTTTTAAAAGTTAACAATTAGCTAGAAGAAAAGTTAACATAATCTCTTTTTTTTTATGGGTATGAAAAGTAAACATTTATTATGCATGATGAAAGGAAGATGTAAATTAGGTGTTTAGTTTCTAAAACTTCAATTAGGATGATACTTTGTGATCAGATTATCAGTCGGTCGGTAAGCACACAATTGTCTAAGTGTATATTATTATATATAAGCTGAAGTAGTTTTTACTGTCGTCTAACAAATTACAAATTAGTTACAATAATATTTTACGTTTTAATACTCTAAATTTAATTTTAATATAAAATTATAGAATGATCATGTTTTTATATCTAAAAATTTTATGAGATTTTGGTTTCTACAATTATTTTAATTTATATATTGGTCCAATGTTTAGATTTCACTTGAATCTATTAATCCAATCAACCAATCAATGAATCCAATCCACCAAAACATAAAAGTATAAATTTAGTTTGTATCATACAAGATGTTGTATCACTCAATTGTAGGAGAAGATTCGACTATTTTATAATTGCTTATTATGCGAAACATAAATGATAAAAGAGAGACGACTCTAAAATATTGTAAGAGCGAATTTATAAACTCATTTAGTACATGTACGGGGTACTAAACAAACTTCTACTAACTACATGTAACAAAATATGTGACATCTATTGGGGTGTGCAACTGGACCAGACCGAACTCATGATAACTGCAGTCCATCAGTGAAAAGACATCTTAGGACCAAGGACCGGACCATCATGGCATTCGGTCCATTTGGTTTGGTTCAGTCCGGTTCAAATATCAGTTCGGTCCATAATTTTTTTAGTAATTTCAAAATTCATGTGCAATGTAGTTAAAAGTATGTAAAATGTGAGTGTGTAGATTTTAGATAAGTGAATAACTACATGAAATTCATAACTAAAATGTGATATTTAACACATTAACTATTTGTGTTGACTCAAAAGTAGAGAAAACTCATAAGATCTTAATAATAAGCTCATAAACATAGATCGTAAGAATCCAAATTCTCATAAGTTGGTTTAAGTTTACATAATTACATACGATCAATTACCCATAAACTTTTATCGTAACCCAGGTAAGAGCCACAAGTGAAGATTAAGGGAGAAGACTGATAGAAAGTCAGCGGCTGTTGAGAATACCATTAGGTGTCTTTTCAACCTAATGTGAAGCCCCCTATCTCGACACTAGTTGTAGAATGAGTGATGAATCCTGTTTTCCTTTTTTTTTTTTGCTGATATGTCTCCAAAATTATATCATTTTGGGCCATTAGCACATTTTTATCAGATGATCATAATCGTATAAAAACGCTTTAGAATCGCGATTTTACCGATTTTAAGCGATTTTTTTACCGATTTTACTCATGTTTTTACCAGTTTTTGTGACTAAGCGACTTTAGGTAGAAACTGAAACGTTTTGGTGGCCTGGATACGTAAAAACGTAAGTTTTTATTTTTTAATGCGCGATTTTGACTGCACTCATGTGGACCAAGGACAGACCGCATTATAGTTAGTCTGGTACGGTCCTGGACTGAACCATTGCACACCCCTAGACATCTGAATAAGCAAGTGTCAATAAATTGTTACGGTGAAAAGGGTTGACTGTCGTATTGACCTCTAAAAGAATTGGTCAAAAACTTTCCATCATCTACTTCCTCTTCGTTTCATTTTTCACTCGCTTTCCATAACCCTTTCTTTATTTCTATCTTTGCTTTCTTCCATACACTGTCAAAATATCAAATCAAACATAAACAAACACGAGATTTACGTGGTATCTCAACGAGTATCGTTGAGACTAATCCACGGAGAGGGATAAACCTCTCGGAGTCAATCTTATTCTTGGGCACCAAATCCTTAGGTTTACATCACGACCAGCATAACATATATATACTAGCCACAACATACCCTAAGGAGGACAGATTGCAATTAACCGAAAATAAACAGGATGGCTAATTACAATCTGATACATGAACTTCTAACAGCCTCCCTCAAATTAATGTTGCTTACGCAACATCAATTTGTAAGTGAGAAACCAATGTCGGGCAGGTGCCATCCGGTAAAGGCTCCCCATCAGACTGGCACAACTTAAGGTTCTGCTCCATCGGCGTTCGAACAGGCGCTCACCCATCCATGTGAGCTGTCTCAAGTAAGTCGACAATGTAGTTCTGTTGACACACTAGTAAACCTTCAGTCGAGCGATGAACTTCGAGGCCGAGAAAATAAGAGAGATCGCCCAAATCCTTCAGGTTGTTGAATGTCGAATGGAGTGTGCAGTCAAAGTCTGACTGCCCTCCTCGTCATCACCACTTACCACCATGTCATCGACATAGATCAACGGAACAGTCAAACCATGATCAGTACGCCGCGTAAATAGTGATGGATCATTATTGCTCTGAATAAACCCAATCCGGTGAATCGTGATGTGGAACTTCTCAAACCAGGCACGAGGCGCCTGCTTCAGACCATATAATGAGCGTCGCAATAAAAAAACCTGAGACTTATCACCTTTCGACTAGTCGGGAGGACACTCCAAGTAAACTATTTTTTTAAAGTCCCCATGCAAGAATACATTTTTGACATCCAGTTGTTTAAGACTCCATCCCTGCATAGCAACGACATCCAGTAATGTTCGAACAGTTTGCATCTTAGCAACAGGGGCAAAAGTCTCGTCATAGTCGATTCCAACCTTCTGGCGAAATCCTTGAGCAACAACATGAGCTTAAAGCGCTCAATGGTACCATCGGGGTGAACTTTTACATTGTAGACCCACTTTGAACCGATAACGGGATGATCACAAGGGCGTGGAACCAAATCCCATGTGTGGGAAGCCTCCAACGCCTCAAATTCCACATCCATAGTTGCATTCTAGAAAAGCCTGGCCATGAGCCTGCTTGTAAGTGGCGGGAATGGGAACATGATGAGTGGCGAAGGCCACAAAGTCGCCAAGACAATGAGGTGGCTGGCCGCGAGTAACACGATCAGAACGCCGCAAAACAACAGGAGCTGGTGATGGATTCGGTGAAGGAGGAGGTGGGTCGGCACCACTAGACGAGCAGGATGATGAACTAGAAGTGCGCGATGACGATGATGGGGAGGAGGACGAAGACGAGATGCTGGGTGAATGTGAGGGCGGATCCGCACCTTCAAGGAAAGTGTCCAAGCCAGGAGGAAACTCAGCTAAGGGATGGAAAAGATCATTAGCAGCCCGATGTTCAGCAGCTGACACGGAATAATGAGGGATATGTTCCAAAAAAACATCGCAGAAGATACGAACTCTACGATTAGTCGGATCATAGCAAACATAGCCTTTGTGTTTTTCACTGTAGCCCACAAACGCGCACTTAATCGCTTTGGGTGCACGTTTATGACGCTCCCATCGAGGAAGAAGAACATACCACATACACCCAAATACTCGTAACTGCTCATACTCCGGACGACGTTGATAGAGCGCTTCATAAGGACTCTTAGCGTCAAGCACCAGATCCGGCTTTCGGTTGATCAGATAGACAACTATATGAATCACCTCTACCCAAAAACTAGTCGGAACACTAGAGTGAAAAAAGTAATGCCCAGCCAAATTCAAGAACATGGCGATTCTTGTGCTCCACCAACCCATTATGCTGGGAGACACCCGGGCAGGATTGTTGCGAAAGAATGCCATGCGCGCTGACGCGCTAAAACACAACACCAAATTGCGACCAAGTGTAATCGCAGTCCGGAAATGCAGTAACAGGCAAGCTCTAATTGTCAACCCGGTGTCTAGATCTACTGCCTACTCCGTGTATATCTGTTATCTAGCAAACTAAGTTGAGTGATTGTTGATTTAAGTGAAAGCAGTAAGAAAGCAGGAAATGGTTCGGTTTTCTGAAGCAAAGGAAGAGTCACTAGGGAATGAGTCCCCCTAACTCCTTAGTTAGGTCTCAGTTGTAATTACTTATGGTTTCTTTACTGCTGATTACAGCAGAAGATCAGACCGTAGCTTGGAATCTTTTAAGCTGACCAAGCCCTCTCAGTAAAACTACCCAGCTGACGACTAGTCTTCACCGGGATAGAACGCTGAGGCAGTGAACACAGAACTCCACTACTGGAATTAGATTCCAGTACAAAGCAGTGAATCGACTAACTCTCGTATAATCGATTCACTACTACCGATTGAAGAAGCTCTAACAACCTAATCAGATTCTATCTATCTCAGGTTGCAGCAGAAATCAATAAAAGATGATCAGACTTCAATTGTTTCAATCAAGACACTTCAATCGATTATAATCAAGCAAAATCACAATCCGAACGTAATTACAATCAAGATTCCTAACACATGGAACTAGGGTTCTTCATACCCAAGTGAGAGGAAGTTCTACTCCATAGAGAGAGAGAGAGAGGAAAACAGAATACAAAGCAGTCATACTCATAACAATGGGAAGAATCTGCTCTGGGATGTCAATCTTCACTCCTATGTTGATCTCCAAGCTCAATTGATGAAACCCAGCTCCAAAATCACTTCTAGGATGTGTTCTTCGCACTTTCTCTCTCTAGGGCTCTGTTTTTTTTTTCTTTCCAAAAAGTCGATTCCCTCTCCTTTGGCTCAAAATTGGGTTAAAACCTAGAAATTCCCGACCACACGGCCAGGCCACACGACCGTGTGGCTTTCCCAGCTGCCCGTGTGAGTGTGCAAAACGCCGCGCTTCACTTAAGTGGCTTCAGGTATGCTACACGGCCAAAACCACACACCCTGTGGATTTCCAGGCTACCCGTGTGAGCTCCCTGGACTTTCCACACGGCCACAAGGGGTCCCCTACATGGCCAGTGTGGCTTGCACGTGCAATTTGGTGTCACATGGCCAGGTCACATGGCCGTGTGGGTTTTTAGGTGTGCTCGTGTGGCTTCCTCAGCTTCTCGCCAAACGTCCAATCTTCATCCAATCGACCTCGAACTCGTTCTGAAATCTTCATTCACGTACTAGGACCTGAAATATCACAAACAAAAACAACCTAGCGTGAAATCAGCCTAAAACACGAAAAATACGACTCAAACGGTGTAAGAATGGTGGACAAAAACATGTGTATATATCAAGTCATCAAATTCCCCCACACTTAACCGTTTGCTTGTCCCCAAGTAAACCAAGTCAGATGCAAGGTAAGCTCAGCATATTTCGATCATACCAACATTGGGGACAATTCATATAGGCACAGAACACATCAATCGTACTGGCTTTCAAACATCAACATATGAACAACTTCAATAGCAACCTGGTCAGCCACCACAGAGGACATTCGAGTGCATCAAAATCGAGTAAAGGAGGAGTCTCCCTTCTGTTCATCAACCAACATAGACTTGACTCAACCACTTACCCAAGACAATCCCCACATGCACAAAACTCAAGATATCAGAATTGAGACCGAGCAATCTAGGTCCTCACTGGGGTAAAAGAGTATAGAGAATATGAGAAAATGAATCGCTCACTCTCGACCAGTGGGGTCAGGACAATTTGATGCAAAAAATGTGCATGCTTATTCTCTCAATCCTTAACGTCTTGTCACCATGAAGACAGCCTCTAAATGTTAGAGTTCACATATGGGGTGTCACCACTAACTAATCTGGAGGTCTTAGACACGGGTTCATATGACTGGCTAGGGTCTTGGACATGGGGAAAAGGCCTTTTAGGGGTCGTTTGGATGAGTAATTTTGATAATGAGGGATTTAGTTTAAAATCTCTCATTTAAAAACCCAGGTAATTTACATGAGAGATTTGGCCCAAATAACTTGTTTGGATATTATTAAGGGTTTTTAATAGTGAAATCAAAATTACAAATGTGCCCATAAATCCCACTTCCTCCTTCTTCCTTGGCCAAACCGAGCAACCCTCTCTTCCTCCCTGCTTCATCCAATCTCCATCCAATTGATCCAATCTTTGCCGATTTTCCATATTCAACCTTTCACTCTCCGCCAATTTCCGTCAATCTCCCGTCAGCGCCAGTTCCAAAATTGAAGCTCCCAATCAGCTATAGAAACTCGAAGAAAACCAGAAACAAGATCTCCCTTTGGCAATTGAGTGTTGTTGTAGCAATTTCAATATGAAGTCCAGACCTCCTTCCACAGTTCGCAACTCTTCCATCTTCACAAGGCTAGGTTCCATCTTCCATCGCTTCTTCTTCCATCAGCGCAATCGCAGTATCTAGGACCATTTTTGGTTTCATCGAGATGCGGCGGGGTTGGCGAGTAAGCCAGAAACCGGCGACGGAAATTGACCCAAAATCCACCAACCACTTATCTACCCATCGATGGGAATGAACAGAAGTGTCGAGAGAAGTTGAGTTGTGGGCTTCGGATTCGATTCGAACAGGAATCGACACAAAATCTCCGTCGGCGAACAGATTCATGGCCCCAAAAACCTCCGCCGCTCTTCTCGTCGTCTTCTTCCTTACAAACCTAGTTACGCAGAACATGCAATCTCCCCATCGATAAAACCCCATCTCTGCATCATCGCCGATGGCGCTTGCTTGAGCAGCTACCTTTTTCGGTTGCGGGGAAGGAAGGCACATGGAGGGGTCGAGAGGGAGAATCCTAGCTTCCACTCGATGAAGCAATCGATCGAATTTCGCCGGATCAGAGCCCAGAAGAATGATTGAAGAGAAGAAGAATGAATTAAACGAAATCTCGCCGTAATCTTATCCTTGGTCGTCGGAGGAGATCAGAGATTATCTCACTATTGATGTCGGTTGAGGATGGTCGAAGAAAAGAAAGAAGAAGTCGGAATAATAAGTTGAAGATGATATGAGAAGAGGAATAACACCGATGAAGGAGGGTAGGCTTTGGAAAATGCAATAAAAAATGAGGGATTGTGAAATAGCTGGTCCCCATCGGCTATTTTAAAAACCTGCATATGAGAGATTTTGAAATCTCTAATCCTAACAATCTGGAAAAAATCCAAAACTACCACTGTTTAAAAAAAAATTACAAAAATACCACCCACTCCAAAGAATTTCCAAAAATACCACCCTTTATTTAAAACCGCGCCTCCAAGAAGCGATTTTCATAATAACCGCGCCTCTGGGAAGCGTTTTTAATTTTCCAGAACAAAACGCTTGTGGAAGACGCGGTTATATGCTAACCCTACCACAAAACGTTGTATAAAAGAGCGTTTTAGTGTCGGCATTACAAACCGCTTCCCCAAGAAGCGGTTTATAGTGTCAGGACAAAAACCGCCTCTCCAAGCGGCGGTTTATGGTGTGAGGACTCAAACCGCTGCCCAAAGGCGCGGTTTGTGCATGGTCACCCGACAGCAAACATGTCGGACATGTCGGCATGCAGGGGGTAGGGTACGTAGGGCTACAAGGCAGACCTAAAACCGCTCCCCCCCCCCCCCCCCAGCGGTTTTAGTGCAAAATTTGCCTATAAAAGGCAGTTTCAGAGAACTCAATTCTTCACACCTCCTCCTCTTCCTTCTTAAAATTTCAGCTTTAAATTATTTAGTTTTTGCGATTAACGTTAATTCGTAAGTTTGTTTCGTAATTACTTTCCATTGTCATTTGTGATTTTATGTTAGTAACTTAATTACTTTTCATTGTCCTTTGTGATTTTATGTTAGTAACTTAATTACTTTCTATTGTCATTTGTGATTTTATGTTAGTAACTTAATTACTTTCCATTGTCATTTGTGATTTTATATTAGTAACTTAATTACTTTTCATTGTAGATGGCATTCCAAAGGTTCACGCTTGGGTTGCGGTGGAATGGTTACACGGAAGAGACCGAAAAGGGTGTAAGTTACGTCGGTGGCAATTTTTATAAAATGAAGGTCCGTACGAGACCGATGCTTGAAGAGCTCCATCAAATGTGCACTCAGATTACCTGCATGGATGGCACTAGAAGAGTTGATCGAATGGTGTATCGATATCCAAACAGACATGACGGGTCGCTGTGGCATGAGGAATTCCTCCTTACCACTCAGGAGGACGTTGATGCCATGGTCCAATTTTTGACCACCAATAAAATTAAGCAAGCGGAGATGTTCGTTTACACCGAGGTCGTCGAAGGCAGTGTAGGTCATTCTGGAGATGGCCAAACATCTGGTATCCACGGTGGTAGTGTATTATACGAAAATCATCCCCACCAGGATTTCCAAGAGTCGAGCTGGAGGCAAGAGTATCATCATGGTACTGGAGGAAGTCATCAATCCTTCTCTTCATATGAAGAAGAAGCTCAACAGGCGGATTACAACCAACAAGCAGGCTACCAGTACCCACTCGACTACAACTTCTATCAAAGCGGTGTTAGTTACCACAACTACCATTACGGAGCTAGTGAAGGTTCATGCTGGTAGTCCAATGGAAGAAGAGGTCAATCCAAGTCCAGTTAGTGACCCTGAGGTTGAAGAAGAGGAAGGCGAAGTTAGTGCAGACAGCGACGATCCGTTGGAGGGTGCTGATGATTCCGGTCCAGATTCAGACGCAGATGGTGATGAGATAGCTCAGGACCGTGTACCTATTCCATACTACAATCACATTCGAAGTGAAGATTGGTATGTTGATGAAAAAATGGACCCAACAGATGTGCCAGTATGGGGTCCACTAACTGGCTTTACGAAGGGCCAACAATTTGCAACGAAGAATGAGGTCCGACACGCTATCGCCACTAAAGCAATGACTCGGAGTTTTGAATGGCAAACAACCCATTTTGACACAAAGAGGTTGCTGGTTCGATGCAGAAATGAAAATGAGGGATGCAAAGTTAGGGTTCGGGCTATCAAGAGCAAGAGAGTCGGCCATTGGGTCATATCCCGTGCGGTGAACACACACACATGTGTGTCATCAATAACATCCCAAGGCCATCGACAGTTGAAATCAAGGGTGGTTGCCGCGGCTATCAAACATCTAATTGAGGAGCAGCCCGACCTGAAGGTCAAAACCATCATCGCCCACATTTCTAGTCGTTATGGTTATATCATTAACTACAAGAAAGCATGGCATGGGAAACAGAAAGCAATGGCTACCGTGTTTGGTGACTGGGAAGAATCATATGCATTCCTTCCCAAATTGATTTTGGCGTTGGAGGTGTCTAACCTTGGCACCATTTTCTCGCCTCGCTACCAAGATGAAGAAATTCAATCGCCGGCGCCTGGTAACAATCGCCAATTCAAGCGTCTTTTCTGGGCCTTCAAGCCATGTATTGATGGTTTTCCATACTGTGTTCCTGTGATTCAAGTTGATGGAACATTCCTTACCGGCAAGTACAAGGGTACTCTACTGATTGCCAGCGGAGCAGATGCAAATAGATTAGTATATCCATTAGCATTTGCCATTGTGGAGGGAGAGAATACCGATAGCTATGGTTGGTTCTTCAGACAAATTCAGCTCCATGTCACTAGGCGGACGAACCTGACTATCATCTCAGATTGCCACGCCGGAATACGGGCTGCTATCTTAGGCTTGGATCCAGCCTGGAACTGGTCACAGAGATGGTGCATACGGCATTTCAAGAGCAACTGGAACCATCATTTCAAGCGAAAGAAGCTTGCTGACAGTATATGGTGGATCGGTAAGCGTTCTAATTAATTGTGTCTCTGTATATTTTTTCATTTGTATAAAAGTATGGAATGTTTCAATACAATACAACACTTATATAGACTCTTTATAAAGAAATGCATGTCTAAGGAAATGGGGACTTAAGCGATCATCATGATCCCCCCATGACCTGGGAAAATCGGGTTCTAAGCGATCCTCGGATCCCCCCTTTTTCTGTCAAAGAGACTGTGTTTCTAAGGAGATGTATACCTCTCCTAAGAGTCTTACGAGTGGTACACTCGCCTTGGAAATAAGGTCGATCTTGCTTATCTGAGTGGTTTTTTATATTCAACAGCTGTCGCGTACCAAGAGAAGAAATTTAAAGAGAAGATGCAGAATCTCCGTCAAATATGCCCTGAAGGTGCGCAGTGGCTTGATCAACATGACCTTGAAATGTGGACTTTTCATAAGGACGGAGGTCACAGATGGGGTATTGCCACAACAAACTCAAGCGAGAGTATCAACAACGTCTACAGGGAATGTCGTGCACTCCCCATCTCTGCAATTGTTGAAATGACATTCTGGAAAACAAACAGATGGTTCGTCAACCGTCTCCACTGGTCTGAGAATAGGGAGGCATTGGGTAAGGTACACTCCGATTATGTCATGAAAATAATGGAAAAAGATAATCGGAAGAGCTCTCGTCATACAGTTACTATTATGAACCGACATGCTGGCGAGTTTTCGGTCGAGACTGGGCACTGGGAGGATGGGAGACGTGGGGGTCATCGCCATGAAGTCACCGTCAACTTTAGGAGTAAAAAGGGGGAGTGCTCTTGTCAGAAGTATCAGGGTAGAGGGATACCATGTTCCCATGCAATGGCTGCAATAAAGCACAGGAGCAAAGACCCTCGTCATTTCGTCAGTCCGTTCTTCAACATTGACTCACAAAAGAGCAATTATCGTACTATTTTCCGTGCATTGCCGGATGAAGCTTACTGGCCAGTTTATGAGGGTATGGTCATCATTCCACCAATCGGTCTTAGGCGGGTAACAGGGCGCCCACGGGTAAAAAGGATTCCAAATGAAATGGATCAAAGTGGAAGACCACCGCGGGGGCCAAGGCGGTGTTCCATATGCAAAGTACCCGGTCATGATAAACGAAAATGTCCCGGACCAATTGGTCCTCAAAATGCAGGGCCCGATGTGGTGATCCCGGATAATGGCGCTTAGAATGATTTCATGCGTTTGTTCCATCTTTGTTTATTAATTTCAATGGTTACTTTACTTGTATGTTGTGTGCTTAAATTTGGTGCAATTTTCACAAACTTAGAGATTTGCACAAAACACAAAATTTGGTGCAATTTTCCATCTTTTTTAATAAAACAGATCACGAACACAAACACACTACATGAAAAAACTAAAAAAAAACTCCAACTAAAAACTCCAACTAAAAAAACCATTGTTCAACTAAATTTAAACAAAACATAACTTGAAATAAACACAACTCGCACACTCATGCATTATTTCGACGATTTGCCCTATTTTTCCTTATGCGATGGGCGACTGGTCCACTGGGTGTAGCCGATGGTGGAACGGGTGGCAGATTCCTATTCGCCGTAGTTGGGCGATCCTCCGTGCTATGGCGCCTCGGTTCCGTGAATGATGTCCCCTCTGTCTGCGCTCGAGGGCTATCCATGCTCATACGGTGGGGAGTGGATTGCCATTGTTGTTGTGGTTGGTGTTGTGGTCGATTCCAAGGTGAGAAGTCTTGGTGAGGACTGGATTGCCATTGTTGTTGCCATTGTTGTTGTTGCCATTGTTGTTGTGGTCGCTGCATAGGTGCATAGTCTTGGTGGGGACTTGAGTATGAACCCTCGGCCCAAGTTGCTGAGGATGTGCCATCATGAAATGTACTTGGCCGCGGATCATACTGAAAGCTGGGGCGGAGATTGTATTGGAAGCTCGACTGCGGATCATACTGGCTTCCGGGCGTGGGATCGTAGTGAGTACTCCCCCCTTCACCGCTACACACCTCCAAAGGAGTAGGCGCCTTCCACGCCTCAATCGGCTTGATCTCTGGCACGTGAGGTCGATCCCTTGTAGCTTTGTTTGGCCTTCTATGGACCGGCGGAGGGACCGGCTCAACATCCTGCACAACGGGCGGCGGTCTCACTGGGGGAACTGGAGGGTATCTATGATGGTCACGCCCGCGCGCTCGCATACAGCCAAGGAGGTTGTTTGCTATCCTCCGAATGAGCCCCACCTCTCGACCCGCCGCCAAAGGATCTGCCGTCCGTGCGAGGTCCCGGATTCGCTCGATGCCATCAACCTAATTCGAAGAAAATAACAAAGTTGGCCATTTAAAAAATAATGCACCGGATGACTTAAAAAATTAAGAAATAATAATGCACCGGATTACTTACCAAAGCTCCGTCCGCCGCTCCTTCGGGGGTCATGTAGCGAACAGATTGTCGACGGTAGGTTTCTAGGTATGGGTCATGGTAGCCCATCCGCCCCACATTAGATGCCGTCACAATCTCCTGATCTTGCCTAACATTCCAAAGGCGGATCAAGTTTCGATACTCCTCCGGCCAATTAGTAGGTCCCTGTCGACCATCTTTCCCGTGGTACCCCTTCTGACTCTCT